TGTCAATGAGTCCCGTGGAGTCATCACCAGGTAAGAGCCAGGAGGTGGAGATGAGAGAGTGGGAGTTGAGCAGAGGGGTTAGTAGATGGACAGAGGTGTGGTATGAGTCTTCAGTCCAGGAATCGAGAATGGAGGCAGCTACATCTGGGTGGCAATTTTGCTGCCATCATCTGTCTTTTCAGCTTATTGGATCAGATCCCAGAAATGTTTGCAGATACAAGAGAGACAGAGACAGTATTTGCCCCAGTTATCCAGGCTGGAATGGAAGCTCTGAAGGTAATGTAGGAGTCCCGGGCAACCTTCTCTCTTGCTTTCCTCTGACCATGCTATTTACTGGAAAACAGCCTTAGTGACTGATAACTGTCTAGCAAGTTAGCCCTTTCCACACAGTTAGTGCCTAATATAAAGAAAAAGATGAGTGTATAATGGATGAATAAAGGGAGAAATGGATGGATAATGTTATCTTTTTTCCTAGGCTGCTGAGTGTGCAGGAAAGCTGTTTCTGTTCCACACTTCCTTGCCCATCGCAGAGGCCCCAGGGAAGCTAAAGAATAGAGATGACAGGAAGTTGATCAACACAGACAAGGAGAAGGTGTGTGGCTTGAGAGGGGAAGAGACCTCCCATTACAGAGGAAGGTGGTACCTTTCCAATGTCAACTCTTGTAACATCAGCCAGGTGGACTGGGATTACATTCTACCCTCTCGCGTGTCCCATCTATGACTGCCAACCTGCTCACAAAATTTTTGGTGGACTTGAATTTTTCTTTTTTCTTTTTTCTTTTTTGAGATTTGATCTAGCTATGTAGCCTAGGCTGGTCTGGAACTCATTATGTAGTGTAGGCTGACCTCATACTTGTAGTGGTCTTGTCTCTGCTTCCTGTGTGCTGGGATTATAGGTGTGCCTGAACATACCTGCACCTTTTCATTTTCTCTTTTCTTTTTCCTTCCCTTCCTTTCTCCTTTTCCTTCCAACTTTCTCCTCCTGGTGGAATGACAAGGTGGTGGGTCTAAAGTCGTTAAAGTGTGAGTTTCTCATTTTACATATGACATTTCTTCTGTTCCCCTCCAGACTCTGTTCCAGCCTCAGACAGGTACCTATCAGACTCTGGCCAAAGACTGTGTGACTCAAGGCTGCTGTGTGGACCTCTTCCTCTTCCCTAACCAATATGTAGATGTGGCCACACTCTCTGTTGTTCCCCAGCTCACTGGAGGCTCTGTCTACAAATATGCCTGCTTTCAGGTATAGAATTCTGGGTGTGGGAATATCTGCTTATATGTGGAGTGGTTCTTTAGCTACTGACTTATTAATGGTGCATGAGGTTGAGCCCAGAGTATAGTGGTTAGGTGCCTGGGTCTTTGGATCAGTCCTGGGTTGATATTGAATCCTCCTCACTAACTGGCATAGGATAATCACTTAATTACTCATCTTTTGTCCTTTCATCATCAAAGTAGAGTTTACTAATTAGGATTTGTCTACAGAATTAAACAATTATATATGAAATACTCTGTGTTACCTGATATGTCATGAATCCATAAAAGCTTCATTGTCCTAATCATCCTTATTTTCATTGTGACTATGATGAAGCAGGCTTGTAGAGTGGAAGGGATGTAGGGAGACTGACTACGGGGTGAGCCGTGTGGTCAGTGGTATGACTCTGGGCCTGGGCTGCAGGTGGAGAATGATCAGGAACGGTTCTTGAGTGACCTGCGTCGGGATGTACAGAAGGTGGTGGGCTTTGATGCTGTGATGCGGGTTCGGACAAGTACCGGTAAGTTCTGGTTGAGGCTAAATCTGCTTGAGGCACATGTCCTACCTTTAACCCTGACCTATTCCTGTGGCTTCAGGTATCCGTGCTGTAGATTTCTTTGGAGCTTTCTACATGAGCAATACAACAGATGTGGAGTTGGCTGGACTGGATGAGGACAAGACAGTGACTGTAGAATTCAAGCATGATGACCGGCTCAATGAAGAGAGTGGAGCCCTGCTGCAGGTGGCAGGCGGGAGACGGGGTGGGGGTGAAAGTGCTGGAGGCATCCATGGGAAGATGATAAGGGGTGGGTGTGATTGCGAGGGAGGGGTGTGAGTTCCCCCTTTCTCCCTTCCCCTAGTGTGCCCTGCTTTATACCAGCTGTGCAGGGCAGCGTCGGCTTCGCATCCACAACCTGGCCTTAAACTGCTGCACCCAGTTGGCTGATCTGTATCGAAACTGTGAAACAGACACGCTCATCAACTACATGGCCAAGTTTGGTGAGGGTAGAAGCAGGGTGGGGTGGGAAGAGGATGAAGGAAGGTTCAGGATGGCCAACAGCTCGGCACTCCTGGTTAGGGGTGATGGTGGCAAGGTGCATGGGACAGGAAGCTGACCAGTGACTGCTCTTTCTCCTTCCCATGCAGCATATCGGGGTGTTCTGAACAGCCCTGTGAAGACTGTACGTGACACTCTGATCACCCAGTGTGCCCAGATCCTGGCCTGTTATAGAAAGAACTGTGCCAGCCCTTCCTCTGCAGGACAGGTGGGGCAGGGATGTTAGTGAAGGGATTTTTTTCAGTAAAATTTTGCAGTTTTGAGGGATTTCCCATGATCATTGACTTTATTTCCATAAACCCCTCAGTTGATCCTTCCTGAGTGTATGAAGCTACTCCCAGTTTACCTGAACTGTGTCTTGAAGAGTGATGTTCTGCAGCCTGGTGCCGAGGTCACTACTGATGACCGGGCCTATGTTCGACAGCTGGTTTCCTCCATGGATGTGGCTGAGACCAATGTCTTCTTCTACCCTCGGCTCCTCCCACTGGTGCGATTGAGGATTGGAGTGTGAGACTTTGTACTGAGGACAGGGCCTCTAAAAAGGAGGGGATGGGATTACTTTATTGCTGACACTAAGGAATTTTTGAGTACATTTCACATTACTATCTAGAGACTTAGCTTTCTGAGTTTGTGTGTGTAAAGGAGTGTCTTACAGTTCTTGGTGACTTTTTTCCCTTTTCGTCTAGACAAAATCTCCCATCGACAATACCACCGAACCACCAGCAGTTCGAGCATCTGAAGAGCGTTTAAGCAGTGGCGATATATATTTGCTGGAAAATGGGCTCAACCTCTTTGTCTGGGTGGGAGCAAGTGTCCAACAAGGTGTTGTCCAGAGCCTTTTCAACGTCTCCTCTTTCAGTCAGATCACCAGTGGCTTGGTGAGAACAGGGTGTCAAGGGTAATATGAGTATAGGAAAACACTCTGGTGACGTGACAGTGGATCAGTGCAGTCCTTATGCTGGTCCCTTACATATCTGAGGACACTGCGGCAAGGGGAGGTGCTGGCCAGGGTTTTCAGGCTTCCTCATGTCAGATGGTGCTGAAATCTGTGTTGCTCTCTTGATGATTTAAAAGTTCTTTTTATCATAGTAATTAGTGAATTTTTGTTCCAGAGTGTTCTGCCAGTTCTGGATAATCCACTGTCCAAGAAGGTTCGAAGCCTCATTGATAGCTTACGGGCACAGAGAATGCGGTACATGAAGGTAACACAGATCTTGGTCATGCTGGATATTGAACCCTAGGCCTTCTGTATACAAGCACTCTCTAAGCTTCAGCCTCAGCATAGTAACGCTGATATGATTTCTAGACTTTTTTTTACCCTGTCAAGTCAGCAAGAAGGAGCATGGGGAGGGAGAGTCTAAGTACTTCCTTACCATTGGCCTTTCCTCACAACCTGCCTTCTGGCCGTAGCTTATCGTGGTGAAACAGGAAGACAAGCTGGAGATGCTGTTCAAACACTTCCTCGTGGAAGACAAGAGCCTAAATGGAGGGGCATCCTATGTGGACTTTCTCTGTCATATGCATAAGGAGATTCGGCAGCTACTGAGCTAAAGCAAGTGGGTAAATGGTATAGGGTCCCAGGCCAGCTTCCAGAAAGTACCCCAGGATGGCAGAGAAAATTGGGACAGTTTCATATCTTATGAGTCATGTAAGCTGACCTCAGTCTCTTTAGGGGGGAGGGCAAGACATAAGGAGACAACTTTCTGGGCTCAAATACCCTACCGCTCTGTCATGTCCTGCTGATGGAAGGTGCCCCAGTCCCCTTACTCTACCCTCTTTCTCCTGCTAATCCAGTTGTAATGAATGTAGTTTATCAGTTCACTGTATATGATCCGGTGTTGGGGGTTTGGAGGCAGCAAGGCCCTGGCAATACTGTGTCTCTTTGGACCAGCCTCCAAGAGGAAAGGGGCAGGCAGGAAGGAGTGGGAATCCCAGGGTTATTACAGGAGGTGGCAAATTCAGCTCCGTGTCATCAACAACTTCCTATATTAGGGATAAAATATACAGGTGCACAAGAGCTGGGGTATAGGCTGTAGGTGGTGGAGAGTAGTAGTTGGTCCTTTGGGGGCCTGGTGGTCAGTAGCAAGGTCGTAGTTGCTGAGGATGAATGACTAGTTGTCTCTCTACTTCCATTGTGGGCGTTCTCTCTCCTGCTATGATTGGTAAGCACTTCATGGACAGAAGCACATAGCTAGAGATGAGTGAGCCTGGGACTGAATTGCAAAGCATATTAACACCTAGGGGAGGTAGAGCTTCCTTTCCAGCTGGAGAAGCCCTAATACTGGATGGTTCTGTAGAGAGCCTGATGGTCAACTTGCAATACCTCACAGAGCCAGCCCACATCCCACTCAGCTCCCACCAGAAACACAGCTTAAGCCGGGCGTTGCTGGGGAGAGGCAGAGATGGCTGGAGCCCTCCCTGTCTTCCTGTGCCGGGACATTACCAGGCTTGATACTGACTGAGTGGCTGACAATTATCTTCCAACTCCAATTGGCTGGGGCAGGACAAGGGCTATGATTGATGGTGGTCAGGCTTGCCTGCTCCCAGCCCGGGATGCCCCTGCTCTGGACCTTTCATTTCTTTTCATTGGTTTATTTTTCAATGCATCTTTAATTTGTAAAGAAATAAAATAAGATGTAACAGTATTCTTTTCATTACTCATGACCCTGCGGGTGCGAGGAGCCGCGCATGCGCCGTGTGTCTCTGTGGCGTAGGACCCGGTCAGCTCTCTCTACTCGCCGCAGGGTGGGGTTTCGTGCTGTCCAAGTGGATCCGCTGTGGACATGGCTGCTCACTGCACCGAGACGATGCTGACCGCCCTGGGGCTGCTCAGTGTCTGTGCGGCCAGCAGCTCGGGGTCCGGGGTTTCGGGAAAGGCGGGTGGGGAGGCAGAGTGGGCGGAGCCGTGGGACGGCGCGGTTTTCCGGCCGCCAGCTGCGCTAGGCGCAGTGGGGGTGGCGCGCGGGCCGGAATCCCCGCCGCCGGAGAGTAAGGAGACTGCCGACCTACCGGTGCTGCTGTGGTGGAGCCCAGGCCTCTTTCCACACTTCCCGGGCGACTCGGAGCGCATCGAATGTACGCACGGCGCGTGCGTGGCGTCCCGGGACCGACGGTCGCTCGCCGACCCGCGGACGCGCGCACTGCTTTTCTACGGCACCGACTTCCGTGCAGCCGACGCACCTCTTCCGCGCCTGGGGCACCAGAGCTGGGCGCTTCTGCACGAGGAGTCACCGCTCAACAACTTCCTGCTGAGCCACGGCCCTGGGATCCGCCTCTTCAACCTCACGGCCACCTTCAGCCGCCACTCAGACTACCCACTGCCGCTGCAATGGCTGCCCGGGGCCCCTTATTTGCTCCGGCCTGCGCCTCCGCTCCGGGAACGCACCGAGTGGCGTCGTCGTGGGTACGCGCCGCTGCTCTACTTGCAGTCCCACTGCGATGTGCCCTCGGACCGGGACCGCTACGTACGCGAGCTCATGCGCTACATCCCGGTGGGTAAGAAAGCTGCGTGGCGGGGAGGGGGTGGACCGGGCGAACGCTGCACCCTGTTGACCGCCGTGCTCTGCCTCGCTTAGGTGGATTCCTATGGCAAGTGTCTTCAGAACCGCGAGCTGCCCACCGTGCGGTTACAGGACACAGCCACGGCTACCACCGAGGATCCAGAACTCTTGGCCTTCTTGTCCCGCTATAAGTTCCATTTGGCCTTGGAAAATGCCATTTGCAATGACTACATGACCGAGAAACTGTGGCGCCCCATGCATCTGGGTGCTGTGCCTGTGTATCGTGGCTCACCCTCTGTGAGGGATTGGATGCCCAATAACCACTCCATCATACTAATTGATGATTTTGAGTCCCCTCAAAAGCTGGCAGAGTTTATTGACTTTCTGGACAAGAATGATGAAGAGTATTTGAAATACCTGGCGTACAAGCAACCAGGGGGTATCACCAACCAGTTTCTCCTGGATAGCCTGGAGCACAGGAAGTGGGGAGTGAATGATCCTTTGTTGCCTAACTACCTCAATGGCTTTGAGTGTTTCGTCTGTGACCACGAACTGGCTCGGCTGGAAAATGAGAAAGCCCGTGCATCCTCTCCTGGGGACATCCCTGTCCCCGAGCCTCACATTGCCGAGCCCTCACACATGAACTGTCCAATGCCAACCCCTGGCTTTGGCAAAGTCGAAGAGATTCCTGAGAATGACAGGTAGGGTTACTGGGATGCCCTGCAGCTGTCACATCAAACTACTTGCTTTCTTAGTGCGGAGAGAACTAGAAAAGACGATTCAGGCTCACTTTGCTATAAGATGTCAGGAGTAGTTGGGGAGCTGAGTGTGGTGGATACACCTGTAATCTCAGTGCTGTGTGTGGAGGTGACAGAGAGAGAACCTGAGGACAGAAGGCCAGGCTACTAAGGATCATCACCTCAGCTGAGTACCTTTGATGCCGAGGTGGGGAGTACAAAGATGAATTTTGGCTGTGCCGGAGATTAAATCCAGGTCCTCCTGCTTGCTAGGAGAGTACTTTTCCACCCAGTCACACCTCAGCCCAGTAAGAGCATTTTGGAAGGAGCCCCCCCATCCCCCCCAGTAATCAGTTCAACATACTAGAGTCTCACTGTGTGGCATGGGCTGACCTCTTTCTTGTGATGAGCTCTGCCTCCCAAGTGGAGTGAGCCTCCACACCCATGAAAAGCACTAAAGCACTTACACCTTTTTTATGTGTGATGAAGCCAGGGCCTTGAATATGCTAAGCAAGCACTCTACCATTGAGCTGCACCCCCAGCTCCTTTTATTTTTCTGTTTCCTGATTTGGATCATATCCTGATTTGTTCACTCTAGACAGAATTGAAGGAATGCTTTCAGTAGGTGTATAATTAACATTGGCCACCAGTGTGCGGTAAAGGGGAGTGAGCAGGAAGCAGAATAGACCTGTGTTGGGAAAATGTTGAAACCACCTGCAGCAAAGCCACAGTTGGTTTGTTTGGAGAGGGGTTCCTGGAGTCGCTCACAGAAAGTGACTTCACCAGTGGATGGCAGCAGAGGGCTGCTTCATATGCTGCTGGCATCTTTCACTCAGAGTCTTACCAGTTTATGCTGAACACATTATGATTTACTAGAAGAAAAAAAAAACATTAGGGAAATAGCCAGGGATGGTAGTGCTTACTTGGAATTCTAATGCCAGAGACAGAGGCAGGAGGATCAGGAATTCAAGGCCATAGTTGGTCATGTGCAAAGAGTCTGAGGGGATAGTGGGCTGAGACCTCTGTCCCCCTAACAAAAGAAAATTTAGATTATGCCTTTTCTACACACGAGATGTCACTCCATCTCCGGCAATTTTCAAATTGACAGTGAGGTGAAAACCATCTGAAGGCCCTGGCTGTTCCCTTGCTTGCCTCTAGAGTACTATTTACACACTCTGAATCCTACTGCGACCTCTCTACTCCCTTTACGTTTGGGAGCTGGAGGCAAGTGAGCAATGCCAGCTTCTTGGGTGAACTATGATATCTGTGTTTATGACCTACTTCCTATCTCTTGAGCTAGTGTTAGTTTTCCTCCATATCCCCCTTCCTTCACAGAAGAGCCTTGTCCTGTCCAGAGCCTTAAATTTATGTTTTGTTTTGTTTTTCGAGACAGGGTTTCTCTGTGTAGCCTTGCTGTCCTGGGACTCTCTTTGTAGACTAGACCGGCCTCAAATTCAGATCTCCCCGTCTCTGCCTCCTGTGTGTCACCACTGCCCAGCCCTGCTTATGATTTCTTTGCAACCACTCCAGGGCAGAGGCTATTATTGCTGTGGTTCCCTAATTCACTGCTCTCCTGTTTTGTCATTTCAGCTGGAAGGAAATGTGGCTACAAGATTATTGGCAAGGTCTCTATCAGGGGGAAGCTCTCACTGCCATGATCCACAACAATGAAACACAGCAGAGGAAATTTTGGGATTATGTACATCAGATCTTCATGAAAAGAAATAAAAATCTCTAACTGTCCTTGGAAGAGCCTTTAGCTTGGAAGACATATGGAGACTTTTACCATGGCACCAAAGGCACATCCACTGTAACCTTTAGTGAATATTGTCTACCTTGATGTCTTCACTGATTCTCCTGCCCTGTACAGGGGATGGAACTTGAAGTTTTGAGAATGCTAGACAAGTACCCCTAGCCCTCTCCACTGTACCTGAATGGTATGGAGCCAGTATCCCAGTCTATGGTAATAGAGCTGCTGAAGCACCCATGTGACTCAAGTATGCGTCTCACCTCTAGCCATTTCATCATTTCAGATATGGACAGGATGGGTCAGGCTATGATTTAATGACATCCATCATTTAGTACCTTTCAGCAAGTATCTGTTCCTCATCTTGCTTTTCTTATCAGCTGTTTCACTGGTGGAGAGGCAAAACTGTGGTTGTGGGTAGGGGCTATTCTGTTTTTCCAAAGTTGTTTTTGTTTCTTGTTTTCCTTTTGAGATAGATCTCATTACATGGCCTAAGCTAGCTGCCAACTCCTGGACCTAGGTGTGCAACACTATGCCCAGCTCTTCAAGTTACTTTAAGATATTTGCACGGTCTTTAAAATCAAACATCAAATTTTAAGTGGCTCTTTCTTTCTGGCTTTAGACTATTTTCCACAAACACGGGGAAGATCTACAAGCATCTTCATCATTCTTACTGCTTGGATTTCTTGTTCAGGATACATTTGGAATTCCTTCTCTCATGAACAGATTAAGTAGCCAGCCCGTTGTAGGGTTGGAAAGATCTATTCGATCCATTACTCACATTTTTCCAGACAGTTTTATGTTGCTGAGTTTCTGGTTTTTTTGTGGTTCTGGGAAAGCAAGCACTCTGCTGACTGAGAAGCTGCAACCCTAGTACTGAGTTTTGGGGTTTTTTTTGGTTTTTTTTTTCTTTTTCTTTTATGAAGCCAGCACAATTCAAAGAGTCTGAAGAAGGCAAGGGATTTAAGCCACCATAAGTGGCTAGCTAAATAAAAACTTCAGCTTTCAGGCTGGAGAGATGGCTCCACTGTTAAGAGCACTGGCTGCTCTTCCAGAGGGCCCAAGTGTGATTCCCAGCACCCACATAGCAGTTCACAACTGTCTAACTCCAGTTCCAGGGGGTTCAATCCCTCTTTTAGCCTCTGTGGGCACCAGGCACAAGTATGCTACACAGATATACAGGCAAAACACCCATACATATCAGATGCAGACCAACTGTCTACTGCTGTAGCTTAACCAGGAGATGAGTATTTCCTGGGGTTATAACAAAGAATGCCTTGGACCTTAGAGCTATGCTTATTGTGTTACTAAAGAGGTCTCATAGTTTATCAGTACATGGTTGTAAACTACAGGTATCTGTGAATCCGAATCTATACAGATAGATAACATATGCATGTTAGATCCTTCAGCAGCCAGGCTTCATGGTTAACATTGTGATAGCTAGCCGGGTGGTGGTGGCACACCCCTTTAATCCCAGCACTCGGGAGTCAGAGGCAGGCGGATTTCTGTGAGTTCGAGGCCAGCCTAGTCTACAAGAGCTAGTTCTAGAACAGGCACCAAAAACTACAGAGAAACCCTGTCTCGAAAAAAAAAAAAATTGTGATATCTAAGGATGTAACCAAGAAAAGTTTAAACAAAGGTTGGAGTTACATTTCTAAAGTTTTTTCTTCTTCTTTGTGTGTGTGTGTGTGTGTGTGTGTGTGTGTTGCCGAGATGAATCCCAAGGCCCTGTGCATGCTAAGCGTGTGCTCTGGCTCTGAGTTATACTCCTAGACCTTTATTTTAGTTAGTTAAAAATGCCTTCATAATAGCATGAAAATTTTTTAACCTGTTTGGTCTCTTACAGAGAACAAGAGGAAAAGATATTTTAAAAAGTATATCACAGAGGAAGTGGAAATATTTATAAACAAATTAATAAATAAATTAATTAAAAGAAGTATATCACAGATAGGTGAGTTCATGAGTGCTAGGTAAGCCTGGGCTACAATATACAATAGCAAGACTGTGTGTGTGTGTGTGTATGTGTGTGTGTGTGTGTGTGTGTGTGTGTGTGTAGATGGGCATGGTTGCACCACTTTGAGTTTCAGCATTCTAGTACTTTGAGGCAGAAGCAAGTGGATCTCTGTGAGTTTGAGACTAACCTGGTTTAGTTAGTGTTCCAGGCCAGCCAGAGGTATATAGTGAGATCTTGTCTAAGAGAGAGAGGGGGGATAGATAGATAGATAGATAGATAGATAGATAGATAGATAGATAGATA